GACCTCTCTCGCCACCGTCGTTCAGCGAATCACTGCGGTTCTTAAGTTAGCGACACGGTTTTTAAGTGAAGCTGACTTCCCCGTTGTTTGTCCGACGGTGGCAAAAAGGGGGTCGCGTGACCCCCGGGATGCTGCAACTGTCGTAAATACAAGCCAGTGGCCAAGCATTGTGAATTTTGATCACATGACCGCGGGGATGTTGCAGTGGTCGTAAGTGTAAGTAACGGTCATAAGTCACTTGCAGCTTCAAATGGCCACTAAATGAATGCATGTAAACCGAGGACTCCCTGTATAGCAGTTTTTTTCAGTGCAGTAACTTTTAAGATGTGTGGGCTTCAAATCTAGCCATGCTGCCCTGGGAACGCTGGGAGTTGAAGTCCGGATGACCTGGACTAGGAACGCTGGGAGTTGAAGTCCGGATGACCTGGACTAGGAACGCTGGGAGTTGAAGTCCGGACGACCTGGATTAGTAATGCTGGGAGTTGAAGTCCACACTTCTTCAAAGACGCTAAATGGAAAAACACCCAAATGTGCCACAGGAGATTTTTTTCTCTTGGGAAAAAAAAAACCCTATGAATTTTCCAATGAATATATAAAAACGGGTAGTCCTCGACTTACAACAGTCCATTTAAGTGACCGCTCAAAGTTACAACGGCACTGAAAAACGGGACTTAGGACCGTTTTTCGCTCTTAACAGCTGACGCGGCGCCCCCAGGGTTTATGTCATCCAAACCCAGACGCCTGGCCACTGACTCATGTTTACGACGGTGGCCGTGTCCCCCAGGGTCACGTGATCCCCTTTTGCGACCTTCTGACAAGCAAAGTCAAGGGGGGGAATCCGGATTCACTTAACAACCGTGTTACTCACTTAACAACTACAGCGATTCACGTAACCCCTGTAGGCAGGAAAAGTTGTAAAAATGGGGCAAAACTCAACGCATGTTTCGCTTAGCCACGTAAACTGGGTGGGGGGTTTCAATTGTGGTCGTAACTTGAGAACCACTTGTAAAAAAGCAAGAGAGCTCCAGCTCTGATCTAAGGCCTTTGGAGACCTGTTCTTTCCTGGAGAGATCTGGGGATCTGCTCTCCTCCTGACTCAACCAGAGTTTAATCCAAGGGTTTTGCGTGTTTCGCGGGCTTGGATGGGAACCGGGTTCGAATCTCTGTGTGGAACGAAGGGGCTGCTCCCTTTTGCTCATCCCTCCCTCCCTCCTTCCCTGCCTACACCCCCCTCCCGCAATGTTGTCTTTTGCAGGAGTGTGGACCGCTGGAATCGGAGGCCATGGTGATGGGTGTCCTCAGCGAGGCCTTTGACGTCCTGGTGTTGCGATTCGGAGTCCAGAAGCGCATTTATTGCAACGTAAGCCCACGCGATTCCCCCCCCCTCTCCGGGTGGCGGGATGTGTCTGAGAGGGAGCCAGGCAATCCATTTACATTTTTAGTAAGACCAAATTGGACGGAGCTAGAGAACCCAGGAAATGAAAAGATTTGGCTGGGGGCTGCCCGGAAACAATAAATCAGTGAAAAAAAAATTGAAAAAAAAAAGTATTTTTTTGAAAATGTTATCAAAAACAAACACCAACAACATAAAATAAATGAATAAAATTCCCTGAATAGCCATAACACTTAGAATTATATACCTATATCAGGGGTCTTCAAACTTGGCCCTTTTATGACTTGTGGACTTCGAATCCCAGAATTCCTCAGCCAGCATGCCTGGCTGAGGAATTCTGGGAGTTGAAGTCCACAAGTCATAAAAGGGCCGAGTTTGAAGACCTCTGTCTTAAATCTAACAAACAAAATGGAGGCTGGCTGAGGAATTCTGGGAGTTGAAGTCCACAAGTCATAAAAGGGCCGAGTTTGAAGACCCCTGTCTTAAATCTTACAAACAAAATGGAGACTGGCTAAGGAATTCTGGGAGTTGAAGTCCACAAGTCATAAAAGAGCCACATTTGAAGACCCCTGATCTATATGAGGGTTGCAGTGTCCCGGGGGTCACACGATCCCCTTTTGTGACCTGCCTACAAGCAAAGTCAGTGGAGGAAGCCAGATTCGCTTAACGACCGTGTGGCTAACTTATCAACTGCGGCAATTCACTTAACGTGTTTCCCCAAAAATAAGCCCCAGTTAAGATCGTCAGTCAGACTTAGGCATTTAGTACCGTATTTCCCCAAATATAAGCCCTAACTGGAAAATGAGCCCCAATGCGTCTTTGGGAGCAAAAATTAATATTAAGACCCAGTTCTTATTTTCGGGGAAACACGGTTACACCTGTGGCAAGAACGGTCGTAAAACAGGGCAAAGCTCGCTTAACAGCTGTCTCGCTTAGCAACAGAAACCTGAGGCTCAGTTGAGGTCGTAAGTCGAGGACTACCTGCTGTTGAAAGAAAAATCTTCACCAGGGTCCAGTCCAAGCCAGGAATAAACGAAATGGAGACTGCTTTAGAAAGAAGGTTGCAGTTTATTGAAGAGGAGAGCCAGACAGAAAGATGGCTCTGGAAGAAAAGAGAGAGAGAGCACATGTAGGGAGTGGGTTTTTATACCTTATGGGGCTCTTGGGATTGTTCCCTGTTCCCTGTTTGAGGCTTTGTATTTCCTGTGTCATGTATGGAGAAGTTTCTGCCTTTTTAAAGACCTTCTCCATTATTCCTTTGGGGAAATATATTCTGCCTTTTTAATATTCCCCCAAATATTTCTTTCTCTGGATTCTTCCCGCGCTGCCTTGCCCTCTCGCAGTTGCGTGTCACGTGCCATCGCAAGCCAGCTCAGGACCCCATCCTGGGGGGGGGAGATGACCCCCCCAACTACTTTGTTCCGTGTGCTGCCCTCCCTCCCTCCCTGCCTCGTCTTCTTCTGCTTGGGGACGCCGGGCCCGTACCTGCTGCCCCTCCATCTGCGCCTTGCAGAGTTGAAGACCATTATCCCCTCCCGGCACGGTCATTAAAGCGGAGCCGATAGTGCCAAGCAGGCACTTCTGCCTTCCGAACGATCCAGCAGGGAGACGTTGGAATGCATTTCCGCTGTCACAAACAGGACTCGGCGGCGTCCTGCGGCCCCCTCTGTCTGGGGCGGGCAGAGGGCCGTGCCGGTCCCTGGTGGGCACAAGACGGGGAACGAGCCGGGATGAGATAGATGCTAGCCCGGTTCTTTTATTCCCCTTTTTCTTTTGAAGACGTCTAGTAAATAAAGGCGGTCCTCCCCTTACGAACCCACAGCTGAGCCCCAAACCTCTGTCGCTTAGTGGGACGTTGTTTCGGTGAGTTTTGCCCCCAATTTACGACTTTTCTTGCCGTGTTTGGACCGGGCCAAAGTCACCCAGTTGGCTTTCATGCTAAAGGCAGAACTAGAACTCACCATCCCCTTGTTATGTGCTCCTGGCCACTTTCCTTCATGACCAGCGGCCTTTTGTTTCGTTGATTACAATAAGCGGGGAGAGAAGCTATCAAAGCTTGGATTCTCTCCGAAGTTCCAACCCAAAATATCTCCTTCTTTATACATCCCTTGTCCCGGCCGCCACATCCCTCCTCTTTCCCCATTGGCTGAGGTACTACTATGAGGTTACACTCTTTCCGACCGCCTCCTGCCTATTTCCTGCTGCATACTAAATCATACATCGCACGTACATTAATAATATAAAATATTAGACATATTCAATTGTCGGTTTTGAGTTCTGGGCCCCGGCTTAGAACAATTAGGTTCTTTCCTCTTTTTCAGTTTAGTTAAGTTTTCCTTACAGCTGTTTTTTTTATAGCTTGTCTTCTTCCTTTTCCCGCTCTAAGACCCAGCTAATTTTTGCCTACGTATTTATCTTGCATCCTGCCTTTATGCTATCCTTTCCTGTTTCCCAGCCATTATAGTTTTTGGTACGCTTGTTTGTCTCGTAAGTTTCCACTGCAGCAAATTCAGTTTTTAAATTTCTTTTTCAATATTCAATTTTGAAGACCTTATCCTTTACTTCTATCATCCTGGTGATCAGCCCAAAGTCACCAAGTCCTGCCTTAGGCTTTCATGCCTAAGGCAGGACTTGAACTCACAGCCTCTGGTGATTGGCCCAAAGTCACCCAGCCAGATTTCATGCCTAAGGCGGGACTAGAACTCACCCAGCTTTCATGGCTTCCTTCCTGGAGGCTTCTGAATGACCCCTGCGAGAAGCCAGTTTCTAGCCATCATCGGCCTCCTAAACCTCACTCCCTTCTAGGATTGATGATGTTACCTAGTTGGGTAATGAAACATCTGCAAGAAGACGACCAAGATCAGAGAGCACCACCAAGGACCCCACAGTCGTCGTCTTCTTCTTCTTCTTCTTCTTCTTCTTCTTCTTCTTCTTCTTCTTCTTCTTCTTCTTCTTCTTCTTCTTCTTCTTCTTCTTCTTCTTCTTCTTCTTCTTCTTCTTCTTCTTCTTCTTCTTCTTCTTCTTCTTCTTCTTCTTCTTCTTCTTCTTCTTCTTCTTCTTCTTCTTCTTCT